CTGCTCGAACTTGCGGTCTGTCCGGTTTGATCGTTGCCACCAACCTGAAGGGTAAGTATGAAACGAAGAGTCGCGCGCGACGTCCCGAAATGTCAGTGTCATTTCATACCTTTCACATTTACGCTGAAGCGCTGACCCGCCCGGCAGCGATGCATTCCCACCTATTGAAACGAATCAGAGCAAGGTACGCGCCAGCCTATCGTCTATGCACAGGCCGCCGAGACTAATGCGACGTTTTACGTGTCTTTCCAGCCCTGGCGTCGTCTATGCCATCGTTGCACGTTATTTGTTCGTGGACGTGCGCGCGCTTAGGTATTGGAACCGGGGTTGGTGACAGAGCCTGGGAGTATCCGGTCTGCAGACGGCCGGTTGTCCTTTCGGCCCCTCTTACGTCCGCTTTGATTTCATCGGGGTCGTACGCGTTTCAGACTGCCTTGTATCTCCACGACGTTACGATGGCAGTGCTATATACGCTGGGGAATTTCAGAGTTGAAGTGCTACCGCGTAGCTTCGCGCTACATAGATTGTGTAGGGTTTTCTTCGTTAACGGACTCGTCCGCGGGAGACTCATTCGTCTATGTACTAGGGCAACGCGCGCTAACACTCAGGCGCCTCCCCTAAGATCTCGGTTTGTGATCTGACCCTACTATCTGCACTATCGACTGTTTGATGATAGCCCGACTTTCGCGGAGTCCGTCGCCATCTGAGGCCATGTCTTGCATTTATCAAAGACGCATTTGGCGGGAACCATAAGACGACCGATCAGGACCCGTGAGCTTAACGAAGGCACGTCAGGGCATCGTGTGTACGCACAGTGCTGACTTCGACGACCAGCTATTGAGAGAGAGAAAGCTATACCGACGCCCTTCGAGACAGGCAAACTGTAGAACGGGGCTCTTGGTGCACTCGGCGATTATTCGTGACCGTCCACATACATCAGAGTACTCCAACAGACGTAAATTACGGGTCGAATATTCCAGAATTCTCAGGGAGTAAGGTGGGAAACGTGAGGCGGGACGGAGCGAAGGTATTGACATCCAGCGGAGCGAGGCCCTGCGTCTCGTAAAACCGAGTGAACGTGTTTAGATCAAATGGGGGAGGGGGCACCTTCCGCGACAATAGTCGGGATTGGGTCATGACTACCCTTTGCGACGCTGCGGATTCTTCGTAGGGTTTCAAACCTACTGCGTGGCCTTCCAATGAGTAGCATGATGCGCGGGATGTAGCACACGTTGATCTGGATTTGGAGAAATCAGCTTCTTGACAGTGTCATGTCGAAACAGGACGTACCGGGCAGTGCAAGGATAAGGGCCCGATGATTCACGTCTAGGCGACGTAGAGGGAGCAATGCCGACTGTGATGCCGCTGTCCTCACTGACCATAGCCTTAACTCCTACGTTATTGGACGCCGGGACTGGTTGCTGAGAAGCCGCAGACAGAGGCCAGTTACACTGGGGATGATGATTCATGGCCTGCACGAGAAGGACTAACACAGACTGACGGGTATGTTACTGTATGAGCATCGTTCACAGTCGGGCCTACGCTCGTCGCACTACCGCATGTGAGTACGTGTCTATTGACTGCTGGTTGTGAGGCGTACCTTGACCTTCTTCTTCCGACAGGTGAGGCAACCAGTAGTGCTACGGGTGAACTTACGCCTTCC